AGAGTACTAATCCAAACAATAATTGTAGTTATATAGATTTGCCAACTATTCGAAGCGGGGGAAAAAGAAAGAACCACCCGCCACCAGCTGACGCAGGAGGACGGGAGGTCTGAAAATCACAGAGAGTAAAAAGAGGGGAAGGGCAGAGCAATCAGCAATCCCAAACCCCACCATTCAACCATTCATCAAAATTTGTAGAACTTTACAGTTTATTTGGTATATATAATTTGTAATTATCTCTGATTACCCTTACAAACTAGCGATTGTTTTACAAGGAAACTTCCCCCCTTTTCTCCCTTTATTCTTTTTCCGTTCCAATCCAAACCCATCAAAGGAATCACCCCAGGAGAGAGATTCTAGCTTACCCAGATCGATCGATCGATCGATCCCTTTCAAACCCTGATCGGATCGTTTCGGATCGGCGCAATTTGAGTGAACAACATGTCGTGTTCGTCTTCATCTGGGTCTGAGGATGATGAGGGAGTCGATTCTTACAGGAAAGGAGGATATCATGGGGTGAGGATCGGCGATCATTTCGCTGGTGGCCGCTATGTCGCTCAGAGAAAGCTCGGTTGGGGTCAGTTCTCCACCGTCTGGCTCGCCTATGATACTCGCACCTCTGTACGTTCCCCCCCCAACCCATTCATGTGTTTGATCATTTTGCTTTGATCTTTCGTTTTCTCATGAATCTTGATTCCATTACGCTGTTTCGCTATTTCGTATCAGTTCTGCTGCATTGAACTTGTGCGGTTTATTTGGATCTGGGCGGCGATGCCCATTCTGGCATACGTTTCTTAGCTTAGTTTGTTAGATCTTTATGATATAACTCTCATTTATTTCTGCTTCTTTCCCTTTTATCATTAATTCGATGTTTTTGTTTTCCCCTCCTACGACCATGCCTGGTTGGAACGTTTAGAGCATTTGATGTGCGGTTCCTATTATGATTAACATCCACATTTTCCATTTATGGATATGGATATCGGTTTTTGATCTAAGTTAGTAACTTAGCAATCTTCATTAAGTTTTCGTATTGACCAGATGCTGTTGAAAATCATTCAAATTGTTCAATGTACTCTAAGAATGAATGGGAGAACAGGAAAGTAGCTTGGTGACGAGGAGGGATTAAAAGACTCCTGGTTGGCTTTAATGTTTGAAGGGCTAGGCTAGCATTTTGGAAAAAGGACATGGTTATACAGGGACTCGACGCCATTTTCTCCATCAACTTGCAACTGGGCCTACTTGTAAAAGTGCTTCAGGATGGTTTCATCTATTTGTAAGAAAATAAATGATGTAGAGAATTACAAGAAGGATTGGGGAGGCAAACTCGCAAAATTAGCCAAAAGAGTGCGATGATTTTTCCAATAGATTTGATTGTCAGATGAAGGGAAATAGGCATTTAGATTCAGGAAAAGTATTGTGTGGGCTTTATATATAATGTTGTTTCTTGTTAATATCTCTAAATTGTGGTGGTGGCAGTATGTTTTCTGGTGTTCTAATTTTTCCTTTTTTTTTCCCCCTTAGAGATATGTATCACTTAAGATCCAGAAAAGTGCTCCACAATTTGCTGAAGCTGCCCGTCATGAAATCGAAGTTCTTTCAGCAATTTCAGATAGTGATCCTTCAAGCTCTAAGTTCATTGTGCAATTGATTGATCATTTTAAGCATGCAGGGCCAAATGGGCAACATCCGTGCATGGTTCTTGAATTTCTTGGCGATAGCTTACTTCGGTTGATCAAGTATAACCGTTATAAAGTTCTTGAGTTGAATAAAGTCAAGGAGATCTGCAAATGTATTTTGGTTGCTCTGGATTATTTGCACAGAGAACTTGGCATTATCCACGCTGATCTGAAACCTGAAAATATTCTTCTATTCTCCACCATTGATCCTACCAAAGATCCTGTGAGGTCTGGACAGGCCCCTATTCTTGAAAGACCCGAGGGGAACCCGATTGGAGGAACCATGAATCTTATTGAGAAGAAATTGAAAAGAAGAGCCAGGAGAGCAGTTTCGAGGATCTCCGAAAAACGAGCTTCTATGGGAGGAGCAACCCCAAAGCCTGATGAGAGAAAATTAGATGGCGTTGATCTGAGGTGCAAGATTGTCGATTTCGGTAATGCGTGTTGGGCAGATAGGCAGTTTATGGAAGAGATCCAAACAAGACAATACAGAGCTCCTGAAGTCATACTGCAGTCTGGCTATTCCTACCCGGTTGACATGTGGTCATTTGGTTGCATTGCTTTTGAACTTGCCACAGGCGACATGATGTTTACCCCAAAAGGAGGACAAGACTATAGCGAGGACGAGGTAACGATGATTGCTAACGACAATTTCTTAGCAATATGGATTCTTAGAACTTATCATTATTAGCTGATTCCAAAGACATTTTTTATTATACCATGTCATGCTTTATTCTTATTTTAAAAATAGTGAGAAGATATGGTCAATATATATAGATCATAAGCATGACCTCTAGTTTTAAAAACCGATGAGTAGATAGTAGAGTTGAATGGACCTTGTAAGATCTCACATCAGTTGGTGTGGGGAACGAAACATTCCTTATAAAGGTGTAGAAACTTCTCCCTAGTAGACGCGTTTTAAAACTTTAAGGGGAAACTCAGAAGGTAAAGCCCAAAGAAGACAATATCTGCTAGCGGTGAGCTTGGACTGTTACAAACCAACTGCATGCAATCAAAGTGTTGGATTAGGATCGAAGCAATTCCATCACTTGTCTAAAAGTCATTATGTTCATGTGTTCATATGCACATGGGGATGTCTGTTTACAATAGTACTGACGATGTCGAAATGAGGGTGGGAGCTGTTATTTTGTTTGATAATGCTTTTTATCTTTACCAGCATTTCGAGCCTCATTTAATTAAACTATATGCAAGTAGGGAAAATGCGAAAAGGTAAAAGTTTGATATTTCATTACATTATCAAGTTTCTGTTTTGGTCACGCATTCGAATTCTTCAATTTGCTGCTTTCAGGATCATCTTGCATTGATGATGGAACTCCTTGGGAAGATGCCTAAAAAGGTAAGTCACAGCACATCAAACTTCTCCTTATAGCTTCTTAATACCTCTTGATTTCTATTTCTCATATGTTTGGCTCGGCACCCAGATTGCAATAGGAGGAGCTCGATCGAAAGACTACTTCGACAGGCACGGGGACCTAAAAAGGATTCGGAGGCTAAAATTCTGGTCTCTCGATAAACTGCTGGTCGAGAAATATAAACTTTCGGAAGCTGATGCTCAAGCTTTTGCCGAGTTTCTCTGTCCCCTTCTCGATTTTGCTCCGGAGAAGCGACCAACTGCTCAGCAATGCCTGCAGCATCCTTGGCTCAATCCTAGGAACATAGCTCAAAACGAATTGAAGAATAAATCAGAGGTTGAGAAGGTGAATCTTGGAATGAGCAAACTCCAGATTAGAGTGGGAAAGTGAAAGACTGGATAGACGACACCATTCGACTGCAGAGCAACGCTATTTTCAGGTTCTTACTCTGTCTGATCGTCGTCTTTCTGTTACAGGTCAATTATTTTGTCGTTTGAAATGATTTGATTTTTTATTAACTGATATACAGCATGTAAAAATTAGTATTGTTTTCCCAAGATCATTGACATAAGTGAGTGAAATATTGACTACGGATATAGAAACTGTTGGTGGGATCATGTGCTGTGCTCTAAAGCGCACCCAGATGATCACTGATCTATATTTTCTGCTACATGCTATCAATATGATTGCCTTCGCCTTCTCCCTACAAACTTACATACCCATCTTTGTTTGAGGAAGAACTAGAAATATTTTGATTCACTGGATTTACCTCTCTCTTTCAGTTACATTCTAATACTTGTAGTGATATTCGATTGTCGAATCTTTATCTCAACAACAGGATCGTCCTATCCCCCTGGTTGACCCGAATCTTTATCTCAACACCAGGATCGTCCTATCCCCCTGGTTGACCCGAATCTTTATCTCAACACCAGGATCATCCTATCCCCCTGGTTGACCCGAATGTTTATCTCAATACCAGATCGTCCTATATCCCCCTGGTCACCCGAGCGACGTTCTTGTGGCTGACATAATGGGGTTGGCACTTCATACCTTAGGTGTTCTAAGAGATTGATCATGCATCTAGTAGTTGTTATGAGAGCGATCCTGTGAACAGTTTGAACGAGTTCTTGTGAATCCATGTTGATATTTGTGGCCGTCTTTGTTATTATGAAAGTGTCAAAATGGTTACATTTTTTTTATCTTAAAAATCATTTAAATTTAATGCTATGGGGTTCACTTGTATTTAAAAATAATTTAAATTTAAAGTTTTATGATATAACTTATGCTAAATGGTAAAATTATACAATATGATTGTTTTCTTTATTTTTTAAATAAATACCTTCATTAATATTCCATTTATATTTCTAATGAGCTATGTTATAAATTATTTTTTATTTTGTATAAATTAATTATGGGGTTTTAAATACTTTTTAAAATAAAAAAAGAAATATATATCATTACTTGGCTATGTTGGCACTCGTGTTTGAAATAATTTATAGAATTAATGTTAAAAATCCCTTGACAATATAATTTAATGGTTTGGTAAGTTTCTTAAAATTTTAAAATAATCTAATTAAGAGATTTTTATCCTCCACGTACATTATAATTTTTCTATTGTAAAAATAGTTTATTAGTAATATAATTATTATGATTCTGGTTACTTTAATAATATTGTTTTAAACAATAATTTTACTAAAATTTTAAAAATACTATTTTTTTAACAAAGGATTAAAAATATATAAACTAATATGTACATTTTTTGTCTTCTTTATTAACTTGAGCATTTTTCTAAAAGTTAGATATTTAAATATATATTCGATGAAAATGATATATATTATGTTTTTATAAAATAAAAAAAAATCTAAAAATTATTATTATTATTATTATTATTATATAGAATATATTTTTCGGGGCTGTAAACTCCAATTTGGGGTAAAATATCTTGGAATCGTTGGCTATACCATTTATGGGCAAGCAAGGGTATTTAGGTAATCTTGAATCCGCAATCAAAGTTTAACCCTAGTTGTGTCTGTGTTCAATTTCGGTGGGGGAATCGGAAGGCAAATCGAAGTTCAGAATCGTCCGTAATCTTGGTTAGGGTTTCCCTTTTCCCGCTATCTTCCCTTCTATTTCCCTCTGAATCCACTCCCTTTTTCTTCATAAACGCTCCAATTTACTCCTTTTCGTTGGATTATCAGTCTAGCTTTTGGGGATTCAAGACAATCATGTACGGACCAAGAGGGTAAGTTCAGAATTTCTGACCTTGTTTATGACCCTTCCGTGTCGTTTTTTCTTGTTTCGTTTCTTGGTTGTTGTGTTTATACCGGCGTTCTTCTTTTTGCTGGGTTGCTTGTCTTGTTTTGTTGGAATATCTGGGAATTTTGGTGGATTCTGCTTGAAGTTGCGTGTTAGGATCGAGGAATGAGGAGCTCCTCTGTTGTTCTCCAAGGCCTCTGTTGATTTGTATGCAAATATTGTGAGATGTTTTTTTCCAGTAAAAATATTCTTGAAGAACAACATATGTTTTGTCAGTGTAATTTAAAGAGTAAAGTAGTTTTTTGTTAAAAGAAAATGGAAGCGCGATTTATGAAGTTATCCATGCGTTGAATGTTCTTTGCATGATTCTCTTCTTTATATTTAAACTTTAAAATGAACTCATCGCTTGTGGGTGGCTTTTCTAGGCCTTTCTAGGCCTTTCTCGGATAAGATAGATATCAAGAGTCTTGTCCTAGGATGCCCATATATCTGAATCCTGTTCGGATTTGATTTTTTTTTTTTTTTTTTTGAGTTGCAACCGGAAAGCAAGAATTCGATTACGTATCAGTGTCTCATCATCTGTCTCTCTTTTTTTGTACCACTTTCAAATTTAGAAGAAGCTTTTGCAGCGGTATTTCAGCTATGAAGGCCAGTGATTTCATTGGCTAATTAATGTTCTCATTGGTAGTCTTTACTTTCCATCGAGGGGGCTTACATTGGTATAAACATGGGAAAATTATTTTTTATTGCTTCTTGATTTGATGTTCATTGAGCCTGAAATTTACTTTTTGCTGCTACGTATAGAAATAATTATCCCTTCCATATTTAGTTGAATTGATTTGTTTGTAGGAGTGGTAATGGCATGTAAGTTCATTGATCCAATAGGTTTTAGAGGTGTAGGTTGGGCTTGGTTTTATTAACTTGCTTGAGTGGGGATTTTCCTTTTCTTTTTCTGGGTTGGTAATTGAAGGGCAATGTTGGGGAGCGGGGGGGTTTCGGATGGGTACAAAGTCGGCTCAAAAAGACAAAGAATGATGGAACCGAATCCCTACTTCGCAGTTAGCAGCAGCACTGCTGGATTTCAACCTTATGGCTATGGGAGTTTTCCACCTACTCATGCCTTTCCCGTGGTTCGCCTTAGAGGACTTCCCTTCAACTGCACTGACATTGATATTTTCAAGTTCTTTGCTGGACTGGACATTGTGGATGTGCTGCTTGTCAACAAGAATGGGCGGTTCATGGGAGAAGCCTTTGTTGTCTTTGCTGGATCTTTGCAAGTTGAGTTCGCGTTGCAACGGGATCGACAGAATATGGGGCGTAGATATGTAGAAGTCTTTAGCTGCAAAAGGCAGGATTATTATAATGCTGTTGCTGCTGAAGTAAATTATGAGGGCATTTACAATAATGACTACAATGGAAGTCCTCCTCCTCGACAAAAGAGGATCAGCGACAAGGACCAGATGGAATACACCGAGATACTGAAGCTGCGTGGTCTCCCCTTCTCTGTGACAAAATCCAACATCATTGAATTTTTCGGAGAGTTCGACCTTGCAGAAGAAAGGATACATATTGCAAGCCGTCCAGATGGGAAGGCTACTGGGGAGGCTTATGTGGAGTTCGCTTCAGCAGAGGAGGCGAAGAGAGCTATGAGCAAGGACAAGATGACAATTGGATCGAGGTACGTGGAGTTGTTTCCTTCAACCCCAAATGAAGCTAGGAGAGCTGAGTCAAGGTCAAGACAGTGATATGTAGGTAACTTGATCATGGAGTCTAAAGTGTTCTCTATTGCTATATTTTGGTGCCTGGGCTTCGCTGTTCTTGTAGTTTTCCAGTTTGTAGGATGACCTGTCGTTGTGGTATAGTTCTCTGCAGTTTAGGCTGAATCTGTGGAGTAAATAGTTACTGCATTTTGAGATTGAAGTCCTATGAGTTCATAACTTGGTTAGAACACCGACTTTTCCCTCAATTTCACCACATTTTTTTAGAGTTACTCTTCTCTGTGCGGTTTACTTGAAAAATGAGATGAGGCCTGCAGCCGACAGCTTCTGAAATTCAATTATTCAAGGCACTGTAAAGGGCCATACCAATAATGGCTGAACAATACCCAATAGCCAGATTTAAAAGCTGTCATGAATTTTGGATTCTGTTCATCTGCCACTTTTCATACGTAAGGCGAGGGTCAGTGAATGTTTTCATTTAGAATTCAGGATAAATTGTTAACTTTTAACTCTGTTTTGAAACGGATGAACATTGAAGATGAGATTAATTTAAAACTTTTTTAAAATTTCCAGTTGCCACGAAACTGCAGAAGGGGGCATGGTTTTGCAACAAACTTATATTTACACAATTTAACAACATTTTGTATAATTTTTCTCTAGGAAAAGTTATTTATTTATGGATTTTTTAAATATAGTTATGGTTTATGAGATGTTGTATGTCGTTTTGTTGATGGACATCGAGATCGAAATCTATTTTCATTTACAATTGGGTTGAACTATCTACGATAATGATATGAACTATCTACGATAATGATAATATGTCGTTTATTATTTTAAGATGTTAAATCATTCAAACCTATAATCTTTTAAAAGAAACTGTCAGGTCATTCATTAATGGTGAATAATAATAATATTAGGAAGGGAAAATCCCTAAAAACCAGCCCAGATGGGTTTCAGGCATTTAAAAGATGGGCAACAGAAAATGGGAACTTGTGCGTGATTCATAAGCCAAATGACGAAGAAGTTCAACCTCCAATTACCATTCCATCTCCTGAAGAACCACTTTTGGTTCATTCTTTATTCTCTGCTTGGAGTTTTCTGCTCTTTGAAAGGGCTGTCTAAGTTTTCAGAGCTTTCGTTGTTTCACAGGTAATATTTCCATCCATTTATGGAAGTTGGTTCTGGCACATGCCATGCTCTGACTCTGCTTGCTTTATCTGCTTCTCCTTTTCTGTTTGTCACTTTCTCCTCTTATTTCTGCTAACAACATCATCTGTTTCATGATTAAAGATGAGTTCTGGGTTCAGTACAGAGTTCCCAAATGTTGCAGATCCAATGCATGATTCATATCTATCTTCAGGTTTTGCTTCTTCAACTTCTTTTTACACAGATCATGTCCCTGTTATGAAAGTTGGCCAACCAGGTGGGGCATTCCCTATTATTGCAGAGAAGAAAAGGAGGGCAACAAGTGAGCATATTGCCGGAATTGCTCTATCAGATCTGGCTAAATACTTTGATGTTCCTATTACGGAAGCTTCAAGAAGTCTAAATGTTGGATTAACAGTGCTGAAAAGAAGATGCAGAGAGTTTGGGATTCATCGATGGCCGCACAGGAAGATCAAGTCCATTGATGGTCTAATCCGAGATCTTCAGGTTATCATCCCTTTCTTTCTACTTTGCATTTGCAGCCTTGAAAGGCGCACATAGTTTGTTTATGGAAGAGGGTGCTTGTTTGTTTGTAGGAAGAAGCAAAGCGTAGAGAGGAAGATCAGAAAGCTTTGATGGCAGTGACAAAGAGGCAAATGATGCTGCAGAATGAAAGAGAGAGCATCGAGAGGACACCATTTAGAGAGCTGGAGAGTGAGACCAAGAGATTTAGGCAAGATGTTTTCAAGAGAAGGCATAAAGCTAGAGCTCTAGTAAGTCACAGTCCAGTTTAGTTTGTAGCAGCCATTATATTGAACAAAATAAATGACTTGCAAAGTAGTTTGTTACTTTTTTTTAATCTCGATCTTGTCTCGAGATCAAGGTCTTTCAATGCAATATTGCATCTCATCTTGGCTCCCAATCGACATGGCCCACATGTCTTGATGTCATTTCGAGTCTAAGGATGTCATCGCCATCCGAGTTCTATCGAGGCATTGACCCTCTCGTGCCCATGTTAAGTCATTTACGAATACTGTACCAAATAGCGGGTGTATAATTCAAACTCTGACACGGGGTTGGGCCACAATATTGGCACACCCATGTCGCCCACTACTGTCCTTCAAAAACTCATTTCAAAGGAAGTCACGCTTGTCTCAGCACGCTTAACATTGAATATTAGTACACCCATGCCGCCCACACTTAGTCTTAAGCAACAGAGAAATGTGCAACCTCGGTTAAAAAATTAAAAAATTATATTTTCAATCCATAATGGGTTTGAATAATTGCTACAATGATATATCTCTAAAATTTATATTGTTCGGAGTCATATTGGATATGACACGACAATACATAACATAAACAACTGAAAAGGGAACTGTGATATCATTCTGGGATATCAGTACTAACGAGTAACTTGGCTCCTCAGATGGAACCAAGAGAAAACTACATAAATGACTGGAAATATTCGAAAGAACAAATGAATTTCAATGAATAGTTAGATGAATTTGCCAATCTCTGGAACCAAAATCATGATCTAGGTTTGTGCAGACGAGGTCGATTGCAGAAAATTCGACCATTGGCCCGAACAAAACCTGCTATAGCTATGCTCAGGCCTGCCCACAGGATAGAAAAGAACAAGTGTCGAATATCATAGCGAGCTGCAAAAGAGAACAAGAGATGAGATTTTAACCATGGCATGATCATCTGGATGTTCTTCAATCAGAGAGAGAGAGAGAGACTCACCTTGCCTCAATGACAAGGCTGCAAAAAAGAATCCTGCCATCACCAGAGATAAAGCCAGTGGGAAGGACTGTACAAGAGACATAAAAAAGGTTAGTAGTCAGCTGCTTGATAATCCTTTGAATGAGCAGTTCTTTTCCTGCAGAAGTTTGAACTGCCGTTTTAAATTTCACTCACAGCTATAGCTTCTAAGCCTCCCTTTTGAGTTGTGGGTGTCATATCCCGACTAACTGAAACGATATAGTGTCCTTGCAAGAGATCGATAGAATCCTTCACAAGAGCCAGAGTGCATTTGAAGTCAATTGAAAAGGTTGTGTAAGCTTAACGAAGTATCTCTTTAAACTAAAGATGAAAATGGATCCTACCTGTTTTGTTCCATCAACAAAGTTATTCAAATAATAGCGCAGGAGAGCATTCCAACCATCCTTCAAGACCCCCTGAATCGTCCGTTGGCCATATCTTCAACGAAACCACATCGAATGATTTAAAACAAAAGTATACCCAAACAGTAACCATTACTACACCAAAAAGAAGATGATAGTGTAGTTTCGTATAAAAGATGAAAATGGGCTCATTAGAGGCAAAAGTAAGCATTTAGTCATCTTACGAACAAAGTAGAGTTGGATAGACGCCATTAGAAAAAATATTTAAACAGCATGAAGCTATAAGCCAAAAAATGGAAAGAAACTGAGGTAGGAGTACCTAACGAAATCTCCTTTCAAAGCGGGAGTGCCAGAATATTGTGTGCTTATATCATCTCCATGATTAGCCCAAACTGGATAAGAAAAACGGCGGTACAAATTACATGAAAAGATGAGCCTAAGACTATAAAGGGCACATGAAATGAATGGGACACTGAATTGACTCACTGATTTTAAAGCTGTCATCTAGGTTCGGATGTGAGCTAATAGTTTCTTCAGCCCCAAAAATTCCAAGCCTCCTGAGTTGAGATTCCAAGATCTTTCGAGCTATCATACTCTGCAACCATATTCAAACATAAAAAGTACAAACAAAATAAGTGCAAAATGAAAATATTTTGAAACCAATATACAACAGATATGAAATTTTACACATTGTCCGTCCATAACTTTGTTGATCTTCTCTGTCAGCCAAGGCTTAAAAAAGAGGGGAATGATAGAAAACTAAAGCTGCTATTATCGACAGGAAAAGTGGACAAATTTTGAGGGCACTAAGTTTAAAGTTTATTTCATTGTTCACCAACCCTTACTTGGTCAGCTAAGCTACCTGGGTAACATTTGTGCGGTCCAAGCAATCGATACAATTGGTCCTCACAACTCCCAGCTGTTCCTTCATTTTCTCACCCTTTTCATTGACTAACATGTACCTGCATATTCCAAATAGTAAACAAACACGAGAGGTTAAAAGGGGTCTAATTTTTAGCAGCTCAATAAAATTTCCAAACTATAGTAACAGGGAGCCTGACTATAAAAATGGAACAAAAAGCTTATTTCATAATTTTCGGAGTAAGAGCGAGAGATGATGGGAACTTACCCATTTTTATCAAGGAAATCTGAGATTTGTTCATAAAGGATCGAGAGGCGCTCAAAATGAACGTGCCCGCAGATTTGATGGAAGTCAAAATGCAGGTATCTAAAATAATTTTTTAGCTCTCAATTTGGGCGAATGATAAGCGCCAAAACGAATATAAAAAGAAAAAGGTAGAAAACTATACCTTACATCATCACCAGTAACTTGTTCCATTGCATTTGCGAATTTTTCACTCAAGTACCCCTCACCTCCATGCTGATGGAAGGTGATATAAAAATCTTAACCATAGGAATTACATAGCCAAATACATGCATATATATATGCATACATGCTAAGAACACCAAAAAGAAAAGAAAAGAAAAAAAAGTAGATGACTAGTGAATCACCGTGTTGACAAGATCAATAACCAATACAGCCCCATACTTCTTCCTTAAATCGAGAAAATGCCTGTCAGCTACTCGAGGCTGGAAGCAACACAAACCAATGGCTAAAAACTATAGTAATCCATATCCGATGAATAATACAAAGTAAGAAAAAATGCTTACAGATTCTTCAAGTTTCACTAACTCAAATTTGGGCTTGTATGTCAAATCAACAATTTGTTCCCAAAGTAATGGAATTGATCCCCGAATCTACAGAATTCAATGTCAAAAGTGAGATGTAAAGTCATGGATGCTATAAACATCTAGAAGAGTTCCTGACTAAAATATTTACATTCTCTCTGCATTCTAGGCAGCCTTGATTATGATCAGCATTGATCACTGTGTGAACTTTTGAACACATTGACTCAACAAAAGTAATCTTTTTAAGACTCAACAAAAGTCTAAATGGAAAAATCAGGGAGGGCCTTTTCAGACACTCTTGGCTGGCAATGAGGGACCTGCAGCATGACTCGGATTTCCAATGATTGGAAGAAAAGGTATACACATGCAAAATACACGTTTATGGGCTACGTGGCCTGTTACCTGAACAAACGATGCTGTGAACCCATTCAATTGAATAATTTGCTCACTTTCCACAAAATTAGCAACATATCCATCAGAATCGGCTCCTCTTCTCCACAATCGAGTGCCTTTCAGAACATGCAGGTCAATAATTATGTGATAAACTTTCTTTTAAACTGCTAGCTGGGGATGAATTGACATGTTTGCAAGATTTTCTTTGAATAAATTGACCACAAAATACCCAGCTTTTCCTTGCAACTTGTCACAGGCTAAACATACAAAGTATGAGAGTAATAATACCTCGTAATATTTTTCTTGTTCTTTCTTTTCTTATAATTTGGCTCTTTAAGATCTTACAACTTCAAGTTATATTATATGTGATAGAATCCAAACAACTAGAATGATGTTAAACATAAAAGACAAAAGAATTACAAGATAAGTCAAGTATTCGAGGTAGTTGGAACCAAACAAATCATAATTACAAAAGAGAGTGAAAAGGGTACACTATGTACCAAAGCTTGCTTTTTATTTTGTTTTTCTTTCTAAAATACTATTAGTGGATCGGAAAATTTGAGTCAAACTTGGATAGTAACCTTGGCATATTTAACTCAGGTATTTCATTCATCACTTTTTAAGGAAGAGACAGCCAACACTAAACATAACGCTTCAAAGATTTAGAACAGAGTGAAACACTAAACATACCTGTTCTCCTTGTGCATCTCCGAGCAATCAGTGTTACATCAACAATATCTTTTCCAATTGCCGCCTGGAAGTTCTGGAAGCCTAACAAACTATTAAGGAAAGACTACCCTGAGGATGACAACTGATGCTTCAAATATGTTCAAGCAAATTTCGACAGTTGAGAATAATGTAAGGATACTGCCTTGGATAACAGGAAGCAAGTATGGATCAAGCTGCAAATATGAAGCACATAAAAGTTCAAGGTGAGAGGGTTACAAGCAAAGAAAAAAGGATGGCAACTAAATTTCTGTTTACCCAACCTTGTTATCAATGAGCACTTCCAACAAGTAATTGTTCCAAAGAAATCTTGGTTCTGCCTGCAGGCAAGAAAAAATTGTGTAGAACTCCCAATTATTTGCAATTCAAGACACAAAAAAAACTTATATAATTTTTTGACAACAGTTATATAAACTAGAGGAAAAAAAAAACACAAATCAAAATGAGGGCGAACCTGTCTCCATAAGGGTAGTAACCTTGATTCGTCACCTAAAGCATGCAATCTTTGTGTACTGCAGCCAAAAAGAAATAATGAATTGAGCACAAGATAGAGATGTAAGCAATATGAACAAATCGAAGCTTATGCATGGGTGCATATAAATACGCAAGGACAAATCTGAATAATAAAAAAATAAACAGAGACAGGTCATCTCATGCGATTAATAACCATTCTAGATATGAACCCTTTTGTCTCTTATCAGTTAATCCAGATTCTGAGTCCGAGCTGCAAATTAATACAAAGGTATGACTGATGAGGAAAGCACTTCACCTCAGTGTTAAATTGGTATCATACGAAAAAAAGAGACCAGAAGTCTTCTCTGCAACATTCAAGAGTCCAGAAAACTCTGCCTCCATCTTTTTCTGCTAGAGATTATCTAATTAGCTTAAATGAAATGATATTGTCAGTTTAATACCATGTGTTACATAAGAAAACAAGCAATAAAGTCTTGCCTGCTCCACAGAAGAACTGTCTACTGAACGATCACATGGAAAAACTTTCAAGGATGAAATTCTAAAGAGGGGGTGCCCCAAATAAGACCCAACACAGTCACAGTCGGTAATGACAATTAAGTAGCATCCTGAAAGATGGAAGACATAGGAGGAGATCTAATCATGTGAGCAGCTTATAGTGAAGAAAAATAAAAATATAGCTGATCCATACATAGCTTCTCAAACCATCACAGGGATGCAGCAAAGTTGACCACTGTCAGAATGTGGCCTTCAGTCATTCAAACAAGAAACTATTCTATATTCGCTTCAAAAGATGCATGATATATTGAAAAAAACATCAATATTCGCTTCAAAAGATGCATGATATATTGAAAAAACATCAATCTATGAGTGCGATTTGCAATTTCGAAATCAATATGTTCTTAAGAAGTTTTTGAATTCAATATCTTTCTCAAGAATGCCACATCCAATCGGTTGCAATTTATGAGTGCATTTGGTATTCCCTTGTATTTCTTTCATTTTGCTTCATGAAAGCTTGGTTTCTTAACAAAAGGGAAAAAAAAAAAGTTTGGGCTCCAAATATACTTAAATTTTTTTCCTCTCATTTTTCCAAGCAGCCTCATCAAACTATGTTACTCTTTCAAACTCACTATGTTAGCAAGCAAAGATACGTTCTCCACAGCTTTGTTCTCCATGAAAAAACTTAAATCCTCTTAAATATGGTATTCTTATATCTTCTAGCGTCAAAAATTCTTAGCCAACACGATTTGACTTTCATTCAAAGCCACAAACAAATGTCAAAGCAGAGACGAGGTACACAATTGTTTAAATAAAACATGAATCGTTTATCAATAAAATGAAAAAAACTTAATCAAATTTCAACGTTAAGAACATATGTTCTTGAGAATTTGTCACCTGCAAGTAGTTTCAGCAAGCCAATTACTCCAAAAATTGTCCGTATCTTTGGAACCCTGATAGAGCTGGATTGAGGAAGCTCATCTGGAGCAGCAAAGAGGAGAATTGTCAATTCAGTAGAACATTCAGAATCAAGAAAATCATAAAATGCCAAAATCATCAAAGTCAATGTGACCAAGCATCTCATTACCGACCTATAAGTTTCATGGATCCATCAACACGGCTGACTGACAGAGACGAACCACAAGAGCCATCAGTCGGCTCTATAACATACTGATCAGGAAATTCCCATAATCGCATGCGTGTATACAACTTTTGTGCAGAATCTGCCTTCTCCATCATTATTTGTATCCAATCCAACTCACTAGCGAACAAATCAGAAATCCAATAACAAAAAACTCATCCACAACAAAAACACAAATACGATCAATCAAACCAACACTTTAAATTCACCAAACCATACCGATTAAACGATGCTCTGAAAACCTTTTAACCTGCTATCTCGTACAAGATGACAAAACACTAAAATCAGAACAAAAAAGAACAGAAAGATCCTCTCCCGGAGAGAGGTCCGATCCAGAAAGTAGAAGAATGTGGGGGCAATGGAGGTGAAAAATTGAGCTGCTGAAGTTGGATTGATTCTCTGCTTTCCAAATTGGATATTGGAAAATTTCGCAGTTCTTGGGCGGAAAGCATCCGATTGTTTAACTGAATTTAAGCTTCAGGCGATGGTTGGAGTAACGACCTTTCCCCAACTATCGGACAAATGTTAAAAGGAAAGCCACATTGTTCTTCGCGGGCGCGCGGCCCCACCACATTTCGCGATGGGATTCGATCTTAACGCTCATAATTTTAGAAATTTCTTTTTTTTTTTTTTTTCTACAATGTTAAGCTATAAGTTAAATAAAAATGTATAGTTCACATATTATATGTTTTAAATATTATATTATAAAATTTCATCTTATTGATTAAATATTATAATCTCGACAAAAAGTTAAATATACAAATATTCCTCTCATTTATTATTAAATTAAAATTGATTTTTTTTTAAATATAATCGGTTAACACATTAATTATATGTTTTAAATATTATATTATAAAGTTTAATCTTATTGATTAAATATTATAATCTCGACAAAAGTTAAATATACAAATATTCGTCTCATTTATTATCAAATTAAAATTTTTTAAAATATAATCGGTTAACACATTAATTATATGTTTTAAATATTATATTATAAAGTTTAATCTTATTGATTAAATATTATAATCTCGACAAAAGTTAAATATACAAATATTCGTCTCATTTATTATTAAATTAAAATTTTTTAAAATATAATCGGTTAACACATTAATTATATGTTTTAAATATTATATTATAAAGTTTGATCTTATTGATTAAATATTATAATCTCGACAAAAGTTAAATATACAAATATTCGTCTCATTTATCATTAAATTAAAATTAATTTTTTTAAAATATAATCGGTTAACACATTAATTATATGTTTTAAATATTATATTATAAAGTTTGATCTTATTGATTAAATATTATAATCTCGACAAAAGTTAAATATACAAATATTCGTCTCATTTATCATTAAATTAAAATTAATTTTTTTAAAATATAATCGGTTAACACATTAATTATATGTTTTAAATATTATATTATAAAGTTTGATCTTATTGATTAAATATTATATTCTCGACAAAAGTTAAATATACAAATATTCGTCTCATTTATCATTAAATTAAAATTAATTTTTTTAAAATATAATCGGTTAACACATTAATTATATGTTTTAAATATTATATTATAAAGTTTGATCTTATTGATTAAATATTATATTCTCGACAAAAGTTAAATATACAAATATTCGTCTCATTTATCATTAAATTAAAATTAATTTTTTTAAAATATAATCGGTTAACACATTAATTATATGTTTTAAATATTATATTATAAAGTTTGATCTTATTGATTAAATATTATATTCTCGACAAAAGTTAAATATACAAATATTCGTCTCATTTATTATTAAATTAAAAAAAATAAAGTGATTAAATAAATAAAGTTTATGACGCAATAAAAAATATTCATTATAAACACCGAATTAACTCCCAACCATACCAATATTCATTATTTAAACCGATTTTGTAATTTAGTCAAAGGTCCATTCATTATAAGTACCAAAAAGAAGAGGGAAATTATTGAAACAAATCCATACATACCCTCGACTTCAATTATAATCTCTTATTAACTTTCGTTAGGGTCGTCCTCCTCCTCCTCCTCCTCTTCCTTCTCCGGCGCAGGCATATTGAGATCAAAAGGAAATCCCCCCCCACGAGCCCCTTGCTCGTCTGGGTCATTAAGATCAATTCTGATACCCCTACCGGACGAAGAAGACATCCCCATCTCGCCTCCAACACTGCAACCAATCGTCGTCCCACTACTACCTTGTCTAGCTTCTTGTTGAAGCATCTCCTCCCAAACTTTCGGTGGTGGGAAGGCACCGCGATAGTCCCGCTCAGGGTGCGATCGCAAGTGCCCAAACACCGCCTTCCACGACCCGAAAGCCTTTCCACAAGTGGCACATTTCGGGTCTGTTGAGGGCGGGTCAATCAATTCCCCTTTCTTCTTCCCTTTATGTCCACTCCCACTACTCGACCCTCCTACATGTTGCTCGGCACGGCCTCTCTTCCTCCCATAAGTCTCCGGCGAAGACGATGGAGCCAAGTCGAATGTCGTCGTAGGAGGTATTGGGAAGGAGGACGACACTACGACATTGTCAAGGGTATCGGTGAGAGTCATGGGAGGGGTGTCGTCGCCGCCGCTGCCATGGGATGTGGAGTTTTCCGGGGAGCTTTCGTTGTGGTCCCTTTCCATCAAATTAGCAACAAGGGGATCTCCGATAACTTCATTCGTACACATTTATACAAAGTCGGGGAGTTTTAGACTCCTTTCCGAACAGGTGCGACTCTTGGCCGACTCTTAACCAACTTTACGTACGTACATGCATGCATGCACTTGCTGGTTGCGCCGGTTCATTTTTTCCGTCATTGCCGACCGGATGGCAACCATCCACTTGCCGGTTTTTGAATCCTCCATTTTTAAAGAAAAATGTTCAAGATAGTCTAAAATTCTCATTATGACTATCTAAGAGGTTGGTACGCTTAGATTATCGACCTATGTTGGTTCGTATTACAATGCATATTAGGAGTCGCTCAGCTATAATGCTACCTTATGCCAATCGACTTTAGCTTATGAATTATTGTTTAGAATTTTCGGGTGTTTTGGGTCATATTTTTTTTTTATTTTCCCTTCACATGTGTCAAGGATACCAGATTTTAGGTCTGTATGTCCTATGATAAGAGTAGTTCATTAGATTGAGATAAATGTTTTTAATCAATTAAACTACGCTCTGATATTTTAAAATATATCGTTCACATTATCTACAACATATATTAATTATTGTGATAATTTCCATCTAAATAAAATATTTTTAAATATAAAAAGTATAAATATTGAGTTGGGAGGTACATGAGTTGAGTTCGAATTTTTTTTTAAATCAACACAAAATTTCGGATTGGTTGGGTTAGTAACTCGAGTAACTAAATAAAGTTCATAATCCAATGGAACCCCACCGTCTATTTTTTATTAGGTTGTTGGATTTTCGGGTTATAATTTCTTAGAAAAATTATATTTTATATAAATAACTAAAATCTTATAAAACTTAAATATCAAATAACTCTCGGTACACGACAAAAAAATATGTCAACCCCACAACTCAACCCTACTCAAATAAAATAAAAAATCTAACCCAATCTAATCTTCATAGTTTGAAATGGGTGGTTCGAATTGATTGGATTCTCGAATATAACAGTTCAAACCACCACTAGCACATACGATTCGTTTTTTATATGAGATCTCACATAGATTCTAATCGCACGAACCTTCCATATAACGGTAAAGGAAGAAAAAAGAGGTCTCCACCAGCCATTGGACCCCTCTTTTTAAGAGCCATCTGCATCATAAAATTCAAAAATATAAAAAATAAAAATAAAAACAAATAAAAAACCAATGGAGCCACCCCTTTTATGGGGACAGGCTGTCATCGTATCATCACCCCTTTCAAATCCACGCTCTCCTCCTATTAAAATATTGTTCTTTCCGACATCAAATCACAAATATATTTTATGTTCAAAATTATCTATATATTTATATATAATATTTTACAAAAGGTTAACCATTTATTTATTTATATATATTATCCACAACAAGCGTAAGTTTGAATTTCTATTTAATTTAAAAAGCACATCGAATCACATTTTTTTATTTCATATCATTTTATTTAAATAAAAATAATAAATATGAACGGACACTTTAAAAATTCTTTATTTTCTAGAGCTCTTTCGAGCTTCCTGAGAGTCTCTTATTAGCTAAAGTGAAACTCTAGTCACAAAATATCTATTTATAATAATTTAATACTCGAATTAATTTTTCGATCAGAGTTAGTTAATAATATTAATAATTAATATATTTTGTTCCTATTCAAATTTAAATATCTGTAATGATGAAAAATTGGCTCTTAAGTCAAATAAATAATCATGATAGGAGATATTGGAATCTATAATTAGGTGAAAACAAAAGTTAATTACATTAATCACTTTAGCCGTTAACTATAACAAACCGATTTTTTTTTTCAATTAAAATTAGAAAAAAAAAAAACCAGACATATTCCCGCAACACGCGCTAAGGGAGCGCGTGTATTCCTACAAAAAAAATTATCACCCATGTCATTTAAATTTTCATCCATACTATTTATTATTATTATTATTATTTATTATCGTAACTATTTAAATCAATTTATATTTATATTTTGATTATTTTTCATGTCATAAATTATCGACCATTTGTACCCTAATTTTCATAGTCTTTGTGTCCCTTCCAAAATCTCTAACTTTTCTTCTACCAGACCAGTCATCTAATCGGATAATATTTTATATTTGTGTTTTAAAATTGAGATTAATTTATGAATAATTTATAAAATTTAATCAAACGAAAATGATTAGATTGAAATTAAGATGAAATTAAAGTACTAAATAAAAAACTTTCAAAAATCTAAAAAAAATGACTTAATTTAAAATGAGATGGGTAAAATAAAAAGGTCACATGGGGTAAGGTCAGGTGACCGTTGTTCGGACAAACCCCAGAGGGAAAGTCTTCTCTTTTTCGCATTGGACAACCCACACACTCAAATCCAACGGCCACATTTCACTAGCCGTTGCTTTTGAAAAATACATGGCGTCTAATTAATATACCTTTTCTGGACGAACACCATCTCCCATTAAACCTCCTCTGGCTTCCTCTTCCTTCACTCTCAACTGTGTCGTTTTAGATGCTTCTTTTAACAATACCCATTTGGTCATCTTGACGGATTTTGCTTCCACGATCTCCTTCTCCTTCTTCTTCTAGATCTTGTTTTGGGCTGTTCTGTTTTCTGTTCACCGGAATCAATGGCGTTTTCCGATGAGAATAATCCCAACTTGATCAAACCCACTGGGTTTCTTCCAGGTTTGCTAAATCTCTTCTGTTTGTTCTTGAACATTGAGAAATTTTTTGATTTATAACTTGTGATGATTGAATGGCTGTTCTTTAGGAGGAGGGTTGGAGGAGAGAGGGAGAGCTAATAATCGGAGGGCTCTTATTGATATTAATAAAAATTCTGTGGTGAATCAAGCCTACCCTTGTGTTCTTAACAAGAGAGGCCTCTCGGGGTATGTATATACATATCTAATTTGAATTCTTTCCAGTTCATTCAAATTTGTTCTTGAATTTCGTGCCAAATTTTCCCGTTTTTTGACTTAGAAAGCAAGAAATCTGCGAGAAAAAGCAGGTTGATCCATTTCATAGACCGATTACGAGGTGGGTTTTGTTTTGATTTTTGAATCATTAAAAGAAAAGACCAAAAGGGTCGTTTTGAAATTTGAAAATGTTGTCTTTTTCAGAAAGTTTGCTGCTCAAATCGCGAGTAGCCAACAGCTTCATCATAATCCCCAGGTAAGGATTCTCTCCTCTGTTCTTTGTCAAGAACTCTATGTGATATTAAAACCACTCGGCTTTTGATCTTTAGGGTTTGTTCATGTTGGGCAGGAAAATAATGCATTTGGGCATTCCATATTTGTAGACGAAGATTGCAAAACCATAGAAAACGACCATCCAGTTCCCATGTTCTTGGAGAAACCAGAGCCATCATTTTCTCAAGAACCAAGCCAAATGGTAATAAATCCCACTTTATCATAGCTAATACCACAAATCTGTCTCCCTTCAAGTTATATGAACAACTTTTGCGTTACAGGAGGAGGTTGAAATGGAGGATATTGCAGAAGATGACGACGACGACCCAGTAATCGACATCGATAGTGTCGATTCCGAGAACCCGCTTGCAGTTGTCGAGTATGTCGATGATCTCTATGAACACTACAGAAAAATTGAGGTAAATAAATGTCTGGTTTCTCTTGGCTTATTCATCAAGGGATGAAGTCTTCGTTGTTTACAGCTTTTGAGTTATGTTTGGTGCAGAATTCAAGCTGTGTTCCTCCAAATTACATGAACAAACAAATTGATATTAATGAGAAGATGAGAGCTATATTGATTGATTGGCTTATAGAGGTGCACGACAAGTTTGATCTCATGGGAGAAACATTGTTCCTTACTGTGAATCTCATAGACAGGTTTTTGTCACAAAAAACAGTAGTGAGAAAGAAGCTTCAGCTGGTTGGTTTGGTTTCTATGCTGTTAGCTTGCAAGTACGAGGAAGTTTCTGTCCCTGTTGTGGGTGATTTGATTCTTATTTCTGATAAAGCTTACTCTAGAACAGAAGTTCTTGAACTGGTACTCCTCCATTTTTTGCTCTCATTATTCTATCAGATCTTTCTGTGAAAATTTTACTGAACTGGTCGTGTTCTTGCAGGAGACAGTGATGCTCAACTGTTTGCAGTTTAACATGTCTGTTCCCACACCCTTTGTCTTCCTCCAAAGGTTCCTTAAGGCTGCTCAAGCTGACAAAAAGGTAAAGATTCTCTCTTTTTCTTTTAGTCACCATTTTAAAACGATGTGGAGCATGTTAGGTATCTATCACGAATCTACAAAACGGCATGACATTGTTCACTTTGAGTACACGCTTTCATGACTTTGTTTTTTGTTTCTCCAAAAGTCCTTTTACTAAGCCTTCTTTGTTGCTTGTAAAACGATGATCATCCTCTAAATTAGCTTATGTGGGACTCTCTCCCAACAATCCTTCTCTCGAACAAAGTACACCTTCAAAGGCCTTCAAAGCTCTCGAACAGTCTCCCCTTAATTGAGGCTCGACCCCTTTCTCTGGAGCTTTCGAACAAAGTACACTTTTTGTTCGACATTTAAGTCACTCTTTCACTACACCTTGTAGGCTCAAAGTACACTATTTGTTCGACACTAGTCATTTTTTACTACACCTTCGAGACTCACAACTACTTTATTTGACATTTGAAGATTCTATTTATATGGATAATATAAAGACATACTCTAAAACCATGTTAGAAATCACAGATCTCTACCATTGTCCTCATTTAGCATAAACTATTATGACTTTATCTTTAGTTTACTCCAAAAGCTTCCAAACTTATCCTTACTTATAAATCCATGATCCTCCCTCCCAACAAAAAAGGGTAAATCTAAGAATTCTGTTAATGGGAACAGCTCGAGCTGATGGCGTTCTTCTTGATCGAACTCTCGCTGGTCGAGTATGAAATGCTGAGGTTCCCACCGTCGTTGCTAGCAGCGGCGGCGACATATACAGCTCAATGTACTATTGCCGGAGTGGAGTGTTGTTGGAGCCGGACATGTGAGTGGCATTCCAGCTACTCAGAAGAGCATCTCCTGTACGGTTTTTGTCTGATTTTCTTCTCCATTTTTTTTGGTATTTGCTTAATGGGGCTTGGCTGACCTCGGATGTTGCTGCAGAGAATGCTCGAGACTAATGGTGGGGTTTCATCAAAAGGCGGCGACGGGGAAGCTCACCGGAGTTCATAGGAAGTACTGTACATCAAAATTTAACTACACGGCAAAACGTGAACCTGCACATTTTCTTTTGCAGACTCAGCAATAATAGCCACAGAACAGAACGGAACAGAACATGCATTGTGTTCTTACTAACAACAACATTACATGAATGTTCAAAATTGGGCGGCGGCGGCGGAGGCGGCGGGGACAGCGCAACCAAGAATATCGGAGGACAACAACCGATGGTTGTTGTTTTTCCAACGTTGGCCATTTCTTGTTCTTTTAATTGTCTGTTCATTTTAAGGCTTCATTCATCAGCAATGAGATGACAAACCAAACCATATAATTTCTTTGACAAAGAATAATATTGGCCTTCTGGCCTAAAATTCCACCTTCAATAATAATTTTATTTTTAATAATATAATTAATTAATGTTTTCACTAAATTTTTTGAATAAAAATAATATCAAATTAAATAACTTAAAACCATATCTACTGGCCACTGAATACTTGAGTGGTAACAAATGGTATTAGAACTAGACACGGGGTGGTGTGTCATAAAATGCTGGGCCTCCAAAGGCTGTTATCAATAGTATTAGAGCCAAATATCGAATAATGTGTTGAAGACAGTAGACCTCCAAGGGAATGGATTGTAGTAATATCTATTGCGTGGTGGGCTCGAGTTGTTACAATTGTAGCCTGCAGAAGAAGTACCTACACTTGCATAATATAGTGTTGATAACGGAATCAAAACTAGTGGTTTTTGAGCCTATCGTGTATCCTAATGCTACGTTAAAAAAAAAAAAAAAAAAAAAAAAAAAAAAAAAAAAAAAAAAAA